AATAAATAATTAAAGTGTACAGAATTCATTTGCTGTCATTAATTTCTGACGACTCTGGATAATTTAGTTGTCCTCCTGAGTGTTTTATTCCTCTTATACCACAGCATTTTACCAACGATGTTTTCGGTCTCTCTTTTTTCTCTATCTTGAAGTTAATAAGACAAAAAAAACCGCAGCTTCTCGTGTTACCGAGAAACCGTAAAGAAGCGTAAACTCCTCTGTCCTGAAGATGTCGGAAAACTTAAAGTTACAGCTTTACCTCTGACTGTTACAAAGTGCTCACACTGGAGACTCCTTCCATAATGTTAAATTATCTTCTCTTTACAGAAAACTTCACCATATCAATGATTTTTATTCAAATTCAAATTTTATTGGTCACATACACAGCCATACACAGTAGCATGTGCAGTGAAATGCTTTTTTCAACTGTCCATGACATAAAACTAGAATTTACATAAACTGGAATTTACTTCTAAACAGGTAGGAAAGGAAAAATGTAAAAATATAAAAATTTGATAGGATGTAAGTGATACAGAGTTCAGTGGCAGAAACAGTATGAGTGTATTTTGAATAATTTTTGATCCGTTTATGTGGAGTGTCCGCTGTACACATCCCTGTGACTGAGCTGTTACTATGGAAACGATAACGTATTAAACGAGCGCATTAATATAAACCTGTGATTTGCAGCTGCTCTACTGTCAGAGATCACACAGAGACTTTTGCCTAATAGACTGAAAGAGATCTTTGCTAACAGCTTATCTGGGCCTGGGAGAATTCTGCATCACATGGCCAAGTGTAATTAGCGATATTAACTGGTTTAATTCGACCCACGCTGCTTTGCTCTACGTGTTTTTCATTTTACGATGTAGGACATCGTTTTATGGTTTTAAGGCCAGGCATGTGAGGAGGCTAACCAGACCCTGAAATCTATCAGCTTCTCATTATTGCAGATTTAACTCGAGGTTATAACCACAGCACACCTGCCTTAAATATATTACATTTCCTGTTTCCCTTCTCTGGCTGATTTCCCATTCGCCCCTTTGCTGCGTTTTATTGCTCAGATCCATCACTCTGAAACATTCTGTGCACATTCTTTACAAAAGCAATAAAACGGCTCTCATTACGGCCGTCACACACACACACACACACACACACACACTACAGCTCTGTATCTGCACTTCCCCTGCAGCGGCGATGCTGATCTGTGTGTTTTATTCCGCTCGAGTGTCAGGCGCTCAGGTTTTATCAGGGTTTTTCCTGTTGAAGAGGTTTACAGGGTGTGTTGATTGCAGTGAAACAGCTGAATCACAGACAGAGGAGGATTTTTACTGCATCATGTTCACGGATCAGTTTAGAGAAAGCAAACTATAAACACACCGTATAGTGAGGATTTATTACTGAAAGTACACACAGCAGTATTCGGACCTCAGACATACTGTAACTACAGCCTTCAGAGCTGTTTAGAAGTTAAGTGACAGTTACGAACATGTGGGCAGAGTTTGTGTAAAACAGAGGCGTGTCTCAGTTGTGCTTGATTCTGATCTTGAATTTAAGCGCATTATTCCTGCCTGAGTGAGGAGCAGTTATTCTATCAGCTGCTATAGAAATATTGTACCCGTGAAATGTTAACCACGAAATGTGTACTCGTATTTGATAACATGTAATCCTCAGTGTTATAGATGTATGGAAGCGTATAGTGCACACGGTGACACGGAGGCCTGAACGTGATCTTTATGACCTTACATAGGCATCAGTATCCTGCTAAGTGGGAGAGCAGGAACAAGCTGTAAATTGAAGTGAGAAAGGCTGCCTTAAACACTAACATAAGCATATATGGGAATGTGGGGTCTTGTGAAGAACCAGATGTGGAAGTTTTTGTTCATGTAAATGTATATAAGAATGGCCCTCTGAAGAGTTAGGGAGCTTTTCTCTGCAGAGAACCGCTCGGCTTTATTTTTTGAAAGAATAAAGTCTATGGCCTCGAACCTCAGCTCTCCGGAGTGATCTTTGATCTTCAGCACTGGCTACAACACTGCTCCTGTTAGGGGTCACCACAGCAGATCATGGGTCCACATATTAGACTTGGGACAGTTTTTATGCCAGATGCTCTTCCTGATGCAACCCTCCCCACTTTTATCCGGGTTCGGACCGGCACTGGGAGTGCACTGTCCCCTGTGGCTGGGGCTGGTCCCCTGGCTGGGAATCGAACCCGGGTCACGGGGGTGAGAGCGCCGAGGCCGACCCACTAGTCCTAGCACCACTGTCTGACAGTTTGACGGAACTTTTTTTATTTCTTCATCCATTTACCATCTTCTTTTTTTTTTAGTTTGTAGTTTAAAATCATTACTTGATTAAGTAATTGTTGCACTTAATTGTGCAGCACTTTTGCCAGAGACTTTAAATGTGCTATATGAATAAAAGTGACTTGTTTCTCCACAAAGAGCCATTAACAGTTCCCTCAGAGGGAAAACTCAGTAAAGAACCCTTAAGGTTTCAGGTTTGATTTTGTTTCCTCTGTGTGTGTGTGTGTGTGTGTGTGTGTGTGTGTGTGTGTGTGTGTGTGGATGTGAGGAACAGGGGTCAGGAGGAAAACTGCCTTTAAACTGACCAACAGCGTTAGATTTAAGGAGGCAGTGAAACACACGAGTATTTAATGGAGTAATGGATTACGTCAGATTCTTGTTATTCACTGCTTGGAGCTTTGTGAGGTCATTTAGTATATTGACCTCTAGGCTCCGCCTCCTGAGGTCACAGGGTGAGAAGGTGGAATTGTACCATAAAGATGGAGGTCATGTATAAAATGCAATGCATATAAAATACATTACGCAGCTTAAAGGTCAGGGGGAGTTGTGCAGTGTGCACTTCATTCATGGACAGAAAGCATTTTTTGTATGTGTGTGTGTGTGTGTGTGTGTGTGTGTGTGAATAATGAATAAATAAATACAATAAACAGGATCTGGTAAGTACACATTTGAAGAGTTATCTAATTCCATCTCACGCATGATTATCCACAGCACTCAGTGTTTTAACCCTCACACTCTGTTTCTCTCGCTTCTGAAGAGAAGATTCAGCTCACATCACCGCAGTGGAAATACGGCTACGATCAATGAGTGTGTGAGTTGTGTGTGTTTCATTACACACCTGATTAAACTGCACTTAAAAGTGAACAAGTGGTTAAGGAAGGAAGTGTACATGGTAATGTGTTTCCATTACACGCAGTCATGGGTTACATCCCAAATCACCTACTACTGAACTATACAGTGTGTCAGTATAGCACCATGCTATAGGTTAGGCATACAGCAAACCAGCAAAGCAGGAACCTGGGACACAATGGGAATTAGTGAGGAACGCTGGGAACTGGGAAACGAGAATGAAAAAAAAAAACAGTACGCTATTGTACTAAATAGTGTGTGAAAATAGTAGCACATCAGTAGTTACTAGAGTTAACCAGGGATACTGGGAACTAGGGAACAAGAGACCTGGGAATAGTGACGAGTAGGGAAGTGTGAAAACTACGAAACTAGATATAACTGGAAAATAAGGAGAATTGGAAAGTAGAGAACAAGTAAACTAGGAACAAATAAAATTTAGGGAAAACTGGGACGCAAGAAAAGCAGAAGTACACTACTGTACTAAAGATAATAGTTACTAGAGTTAACCTGGGACACTGGGAAGTAGCGTCCTGGGTAACTATGAAACCAAGGAAACGAGATAACACTGGAAATTATAGAAAACGGGAAAATAGAGACCAAGTAAGCATGGAGTAATGAAAATTAGGGAACACTGAACATTAGAGAAGTCTGGAAACTAGGTACACTGTAATCTAAGACTAGGATGGAATGGGAATTGGGGAATAACGAAGGCTGGAATAGTGGGGAATACTGGAAACTAGTTAACGGAAAGAGGACACTGATAACTAGAGAACATAGAAAACAGCTGAAAATCGAGAAGAGGGAAACTAGGAAGACTGAACATTAGGAAACTTGGACACAGTGGAAATTAGAGTAAACTGATAACTCAGACATGATGACACCCAGGGAACAAGACATTTAAGGAACACTGGAAACTTGGAAAAGCTGGTGAACAAGAAAAGCAGGAGTACACTACTGTACGAAATAGTGTGTGAAAATAGTAGCACATCGATAGTTCACTAGAGTTCACTAGGAATACTGGGAACTAGGGAATAAGAGACCTGGGAATACTGACGAGTAGGAAACTGAAAACAAGGGAAATAGATAAGACTGAAAATTATGGAAAATTGGAATGTAGAGTAAACTTGGAATAATGAAAATTAGGGAAAATTGAAACCCAGGAGACTGGGACACAATGGGAATTAAGGAATACTGATCACTAGGGGACAAGAAAATTAGGGAACGCTGGGAGTTCGGGAATGCTAAAAACTAGGTAACAAGAAAAGCAAGAGATAATACAGAATAAATAGTGCGTCAAAATTCTATAGTACACAATAGTTTACCCAGGTAGGAATATTGGGAATTAAAAAACAACAAATCTAGGAATACTGGAAACCAGGAAACAACAAAAACTGTGGAAAAGAGAAGGTAAGGAATACTGAAAACAATTGAACCTAGGGAAAAAAGGAAGCTATTAAACACTGAACACAATGAGCACTTAAATAAAGAAGAAGGAAAACCAGGAAACAGTGAAATAAAAAAACTGGAAAGTAGGGAACACTAAAACCTAAGAAGACTAGAAACTCAGGAATATTGATCATTTTTCCCAGGCAGTTCAGTTTACTCTGTCTTCAGTAAACTGAGCTGTAGTGTTTATGAATTTTACATCACTGTCGCAGACAGATTATAGAAAATGAGCTCGTCTGTCTCTGGACACACACATGCTTCTGAAGGTGAAGTGTAAATCCACACGAGTTAAACACAACCACATTACGACCTGAGTCTGTCTGAATCCGTGGGATTTTGGTCGCATCACACACACACACTTCCAGGTACGTCGTAATCAGTAGTGTGTAAAGTGTTCATAGAACAAAAGTGTCACAGTGAGTTGTGTATTTCCCCATCGCCAGATAATCAGAAACACATCAGACATGAACAGGAAGTGCTCCCGAATTTCCCCTCGGAGATCAACAAAGTACATCTATCTATCTATCTATCTATCTATCTATCTATCCATCTACATCCCCGCTCAAGATGCAGGGAAGCAATTAGCAGTTAGTTATCTATCTCTCGAGATCTGATTTACTTCGAGCAAGTTCATCGTTATAATAAACTTTATTTTATATAGCGCCTTTACATAAGAGTATATAAACATATACAACAATAACAATAATAATAACAATAATTTAATAACAAAACAAAACACAGTAATCAAATGAAAGCAATCCTAAAGAAATAAGTTTTAAGAGAAGATTTAAATACACTAAGAGACTGAGCTTCTCTAAGATCAGATGGAAGGGAGTTCCACAGTTATAATAAAATCAGAGTAGATCCTGCGTTACAATAAAGCGGAGACTCAAATGATTTATCTCTTCTATTTTTACTTTATGTGCTCATTCTGCTTGAGTTCTCATTCAGCAGCGCATTTTAGTAACGAACCACGACGACGAAAGACAACGTAAAGTAGAACGTTACATTAAAGAACAATAAAATCTTCATTCAAGACAATTTGAGTTCAAAGTTTACTTCTTTACTTCATTAGCTATTGTGCTAACGGATCAAACAAGTGAATTAACCTCATAGCTACCAATTTAGCAACTTGAGGGCCAAATTATAGCAAGTCATCGGGCGTGTCTGAGTTCAGCGTCAGCGCTGGAGGAGCTTTTAGTGTGTGTGTTTAAAATCAGCCAAGTTTTCAAACAGAACGCCGAACAGTGTATTTCAGACTACAGAAAAAGCAGAGCATGACTGGCAGATTTCTCTGTGTGTGTGTGTGTGTGTGTGTGAGTGACAGGAAGTGTGTTTGACCATGAGAGTAATGAGTTAGTGCTGGCAGTCGCATTCACGATGAGGACTTGCTCCAGCTCCAGGCTGTTAACGGCCCTGAGCCTCAGAATGCGTCTATAAAACGACTCGCCAAATTATATTACAAACAATAAAGTTAAAGAAAGACGATTACGATATATACCTTATTAAATTAACACTTTTCACCCTAGCAAGCGACTTGTACTCGGTGTCCTGTCGGCATGTACCAACTGCTAATGCTGTTTTTATGGGCGTGGCCGGTCCAGCGTTTTGTTTTAGTTCTGATGAGAAATTAGCTGCACTGTATACACACACAGCTTCTAAAGCTAAATAGTTAAACATGAATTAAATAACACACTCATCTGTGTGAAAATCGGTTGTTTGATTTACACGCTACAAAGATTGAGCTGACTCACATAGCTAACATGCTACCAGGTTATATACCAGGGGAAAAGGGGCGGAGCTTATGTTAGTGCACTTTCGACTTTTTGTCAATTCTGGATCAATGTTAATCAAATTTATTATTAAACAAACCACAAAGCAAGGAAAATGTTGTCTGGGTCATTTAGAGCTAAAAATATCCTCATAAAACTCGGAAAAACGTTCACTAAGAGCGTGAAGAATTCACACAAATCACCCTGGAGGCTGGAGCTAAACAAACGAGAGAATTATAGAAATTCAGATGACTTTCTCACTGCGCTAGAGTTTATTCGGAAGAGTACTGAGACCCTGTCGCTCAAACGCTCTCGGACCCGATCACACAACATCAACATCAACAGCAACATCAACAGTAGCTTTTCTTTTCAACTCCTCAGCTAGACGTATTTAACGCCAGTTCTTCTTTAGCATGAACTAATGACTTTAATTACGCAAAATATATCAATTGATCAACCATAGCTAACATCTGATTAGCTAAAGGCATCACTGCACTAATTAACCCAAGCTTTCCAGCAGTATAGATCTGATATTAAAATATCTACAGTTGGAAAGTTCTTGGAGTTTCTTAAGAAGCAGGAAGTTAGGGATGGAATTTCATCCGAAAGTGAAATGTGAGGAAAGTGTTTCTAAAATCTAAGTCTGTAAAAGGAAAAGCACTTCATATTCAAATGAGCTTCAGTCTGAGTGAAAATAACACTGCAGTTTAATTAAAACTGGGTCGAGACCCTTTTCTTCTCCAGCATGGCTTTGATCCCAGATTTCTCTTCATGTCTCCAAGGACATTTTCAGAAAATTTACATCACAATAGCTACACGAGTGGAGAAGAGTGAAACAGGATAACTTGTCTGTCTGATGAGAAGAGAAGAAAGAGAGGAAAGGATGAAT